AACGCATTGCTTTGAATATCTCTTTACAATATTTTTGTTTTTAAATTTGAATTAAAAAATTTAAGTGACAATTCTATAATATAATTTACAAGGAATTGCCTTAGATATTTCTATTACCATTTTTTTTCTCTAACTTCTATTAAAAAAAAATTAAAAAATAGAAAGTATCTGTTGGGCCCACTTAGGTCCGGGACCGGCTCACTTAACCCGGGACCGTTAGTTCGTGGTCCCGGTCCTGGGCCGGTTCCAACAAGAAGCCTGCGAAGCCCGGGACCGCTTAGGACCGGCCCACTTAGGACCAGGCCCATGAAGCCCACTTAGGACCGGGCCCAGCCCACATGCCACCCTTAGATAGCGATGCCCTCTTTTCGGTATCAAACCAAATCCAGTTAGGTTCGACAATAAGCTCCCCATTTGGAGTGAAATGAATCTAGATTGTCCTACTTTTGACAACTTTGATCCCAAAATATAGGGATTTGCACTTTACCGACTACAAAACAAGCTAGATCCCACTAAATCCTGATCGGAGGACTTCCATAAAATTAAATATCTCAAAAGAAACAACAATCTCCAAAACTGAAAGATGGAAATAAAATGTAAAGAAGCAAAATGTTTCTCATCTTAAAGGTACTGAAGAATGTTAAACAACGACCATAACAGAGTGTCATTCCTTTATCATATAATTTGTTAGTCAGGAAACGGCATGAAGAGCAACTCAAATCATCATTAACTAACTGGCGAATTTTGAGATTCAACTTGGCAATACAAAAAACATTCATTCATGAAACCTGATCTGTCTCATCCATCATCCTATTTCCTTGATCCATCAGTTGTTGATTGCTCATATCTGCAATGTTACATCAGCAATCAGAAAGCTGTAGGGACAATTGATTTTAAAATATTAAAAAACCTATAGGCAAGGAGTAAAAATCAATGAGGTCAAAGTTCCTTTGCAAGTTGCCAAAACAGCCATGTCTTGCAAAAGTCAATGACAATATGCAGCAAAAGAGATTCATTCATTTGAAAGGGGACAAATGAACTCTCGTTATATAGGATGATTAGCTTGAATTACTTGTGGCAAAAGATTCAAGAGAATTGAATCAGAACTTACTCCATTCTATATATACATATACATACACACACACACACACACACACACACATATATATATATATATGTGTGTGTGTGCGCGCGTGTGTAGAGACTAGGTTGCCTTGTGTAGATATCTGAAAGTAGAGACTAGGGAAACACAATATGTCAGATTGAATCATGATGACCTACACAAGGCAACCTAGTCTCTACTTTCAGATTCAGGTTAAACAGTTCCAGATATCTGAACCAGACAAAAAACTGTCACTCTGGATCACACCCCTCTTGACCATATTTTTCATTCCATTAGCTTTGGCATTTAGTTGCGCTTCCAAGACAAATATCACACATATAGAGGAGGCCTCTTTCAATAAATTACAGTCAATTTCAAGACAAATTGACTTTTCACAATTCATAAAATGAAAGGTTAAAGTGCACATTGGTTTAATGTTGATGAAGGTGAGGCATCAATAACTTTCATTTTGTACTCTCGAAGGTGACAAGATTTGCCTAGTGTAACCTCAATTCTGATACCAACCATAAGCACCTATAATGAACATGGAAAATTTTCCTTTCTAATAGCCATAGATACAGTTATGAGACATTTTCAACTAGTAATTGTGGAAAGACACCTATTATAATTTAGAATCATGCAAGGTAGCCTTCAAATTTGTGTATCAATCTCAATCAGATCCTATCAGTAAGAAGCAGTATTCTTTCAACGGCAGCTTCAACTGCCCCACTCACCCAACAAAAGAACAGAAGGGATACCTTGAAACCAGCTCTTCAGCTGAGAAACAAGTGAGAACAATAAAAAAAAAAGACAGAACTACTAATCACCAGATGAGAGCCAAGAAGAAATACAGCATACTTCAGTCCAAAAGAAAGCATATTTTATGTCAAAACTCAAATTGCAGCATAAAAGGCCAGAACGCTAAGATAATGAAGGATGTCTAAAATTAAAAGTACAAAAGTTAAAGATATGCTTACTTGAAGCTAGCAAGCCATTCTCTTCAGCAAACCCTTCACCAGGACCCTCAAAAAGATCTACTCGCTTGTTCTCAATATTGCTTGCGTATCTAGAGAACCACAGACACAAAAATTAAGTCTATGATTCAGAAACCAAAGAGAAATAACATATACAATAAAACCAAAAAGTTGGGGGTTTCTTGTTCGTCCGATACAAACTTAAGTTCTAGTTTACTTCATAAAAAACGGAAGTGCTACTTCTGCATGTTCACCAACGGGAAAACAGTGTCCTAATCTTTAACCATCCTTGAGTGAAGACCAACTATTAACATGTATAATCCAAGTCCTGAAACAGAGTTTATTGTTGATTTCCTGAACTAGTGTCACATATCTAAGGAGTATATTGAATTTGATTAACTCATAAATAAGGTGGATACCTTGTACTATGTCCAAGTCAACAACCTCATGCAAATATACAAGTGACTTACTATGTGTTTATCAATTGTTAAATTTAATGATTCTAACTCTGTTGCTATTCCTAGCTTCATTTGTGGGCCTCAAGTCTCGAGGGTAGAAAATTCTTTTTTTCCTATTTGTAATCTTGCAGGCACATTCATGGAAATACTGTTTGAAGTGTTGCAGCCACTTTCTTTCACCAGCATTACAGTCAAACTTCAATCGAAGCATCCCGGATTTAAGGAACTACAAATATACAATAGAACTTTTTGGGAAAGTGGAAAGGATCATTCAATTTCAACAAGACAAAGCTAACGATATAAAATCTCAATACAACATTGATGGTGGGTAAGGAAAGACTCGTATAATTGTAAAGGTGCTAACAAACTCGCTCTGGAACAGAACATGTATAATCGCTCTGTGCAAAGATATTTGAAGAAAGCATATATTTTGGCAATGAATCTTAAGTTAAGGAAAAACAAAGCAGTTCAAGAATCAGCAGACTATTAAAACGATGTTTTAGATAATGAGTAAAGCTACCCAAAAAGCACTTACTGCTTTTTCAGAGCAACATAAGAGTTCAACTCTTTGATCTGCAAAAGGAAGATAGAAAAGACAACATCAGTTCAGAAAAAACAGATCCATTCGTTGTGGCATAAATATTATAGAAAAGCTTTCCAATGAACCAGACCATTGATTGCTTTTTCTCATTCAGCATCTTGGTTGTGTCAGCATCATTTTTATATTCCAAATCCTTTACTTCTCTGTCAAACTCCTTGATAAGCCTGTCGAAGTAATTAGTTTATGATTGCACGAAATTAATTGTCTGTCAGTGCATGGCTGCATATCAATATAGTCCGGTTACCAGAATTTCATGGAAAATAAAAGGGAGAAAGCAACTAACAATTCTCCAAATCAACCTTGCATGCTTGTCAGAATCCCAAATTGACTACAAGGACTCCAGTTGGCAATTACACACTAGAAATACTTTTAACGCTTTGCCGTTTCATTTGGATCAAAACTTTTTGAGGAAAAAAAACAAGACAATGTAAAGTAAATCAAATCCAATATTTTCTTTTTACAGGAAATCAAATCCAACATTTTTATGGTTCTTCATCCTGTTTAGATGTCTCGAGAACATAACACTAACCATCTGGTGGCATCAAACAGGAACAAGCAATACAGTTTGGCATGTACATCTTAAAATACTAAGCTGTTAAGCAGGAATTTTATGCAATCTTATAAAAAATAAAAGGAGTTTATGCAAAATACTGTGTTTATTTCCTCTAAGACTGACAAAGTAATCGTAGTGATTTGGTACCTCATTGAATGATCAACCGCGAGTCCGCGACAGTTCGTCAACATGAAACAACTTTATATTGATCTCACTAATCAGAGTTCTGAAAAGGGCTTATCAGAATTTGCAAAAACTAAGATGCAAAAGTCAATTCTCTTCCATCTTTATCCAAGAGATTTACAAGGAGATGTTCCTACATCAGCCAAAAACCTCATGGCTCTTCACTTAGTGTCTTATGGTATAAAATATTTAAATTACACTATTTTGCCATTTACTGGAACGTGACAATTTCTGACACATAAAGTCTGTTTCTTTTAAATTCAAAACATGTATCGTTTAAGCAGCCTCTCTACCTCCACAAGGTAGGGGTAAGGTCTGTGTACACTCTATCCTCCCCAGACCCCACTATGGGATTTCACTGGGTATAGTATTGTTTGAACTGTAATAAACTCCACCCTCTTGAGCTTCGCATCCTATATGAGCTTACAGTACCAATCCAAAGCCAGCTCTGATAAAGGACGGGTTGCGGAGGTTGCCTGGTAGAGTAAAACTAGTCAATTTATGACAAATCCTCATAATATTGAAGTGGAATGGATATGGAGGACCCGTACAGCCACCCAACAATTTCAGAATGGACAAGTACTAGTAGTAGTTTTTTTTTTTTTTTAAATTACGGTGGTGCGCGAACCAGCTTGCACGCCTCTTGACTATTTTACTGGGTACCTGCTACCTCCCACCAGCAGAGGTACCGGGTAACTCTGCCCACCAAGGCTAAGGCTTAATAGTTGTGATTATTAGTATCATTGGGAAGTAAGCACCTTTTATTGACAGGTTCTCTGTCTGAAATCCTATTCATGAAAGCGAAAAGATCAAAATTCTCTTCACCATTACGAAATAAAGTTCACCCATTCCTATACTCTTTTTTCCTTTTTTTGATAACAGTGGTATCCGGGCTAGCTTGTGCGCACCTCCACTATTTCACCGGATACCGGATACCTTTTAGCAACACATATATCGGGTAACTCTACTTCTCATGGCTTAGGCACGTGGGAAGGAATCACATAGTATATTTTTGACTTAGCGGGAATTTGAATCTAAGACCTCGCGGTTCTCCTCCCACTTCATTGACCACTAGCTCGCACCCTTAGGTGCAAAACTATCAAATATTTCTTCTATATCCAAAATAAAAATTCATCATTTCCTAATATACTTATAGTAAATGCAAACAGATTGTTAAACACATTGATAAATCACCAAGAGGATCTGCAATGAGTACCTCTTACATTCCTTCATCTTTCCTGTTAGCTCCTCCAGCTGCCTGCTCTGCCTATTCGAATCCTTAATCTTCTCCAATTTCTGAAATCCATTTCTACAACAACAAAACAAAAAACATCATTCACCTCACAAGTATACATTACATTTTTACTTAAATTGGATAAGCAGAAAAGAACTTTGCTTACGAAAGAGCTCGGAAAATATCCGAAATCTGTCCCTCGATTTCCCCGAGCTCCTCGCTAACACCAGTCGACGAAGCCATTCCTCAAAATTGGAAACAATATACCAATAAACACAAACAATGTCGATTCTCAAAACAAATCAAAGCATTGCAAAAACAATCAAACTCCTCAAAATTCAACGATCAGATAGGAAATTTCACGAATTTGAAATTTTTCGTAATTCCAAATTCGATTATTGCACAATGCGGATTCAAATCGGAAGGAAAAGATAGGAAAATTAGCGGATCTGACTGTGGATCTGATGAAAGTTGAGGTGTAGGGTTTGAAAATTTTGGATTTTGATTATTACAGAGAAGAGATGAGCTGGTCTCGTGATTTTGCAGGCATTTTCAATATTTTATATTTTTCGGCTGAATATTTTTTGAGGATTTTAAATGCTTAGAGCGTTTTGGAGGGGTTTTTGAAGAAGGTTTAAAAGAGGAAACAATGGAAAATGGAAATGGGAATTATTAATTAGTTAAAGATTAGTAATTAGTGTAATTAATTAATAGTAATAGTAAATATTAACCGATATTTAGGCAGTTCAAATTGGGTTGTAATGAAAATGATTGGTGGGGTCCCCTATGCGTTTACTTTGTTTCGGATATTCAGGTGGTCGTGTTTTTAGGCGTCTATGGTCCGAGACATATATCGAATTAAAGTGTTTGGGGTCTCGTTATGGACATGGCACATGGCCCATTGTAAGTAGTGACCATTTCTTGACGTAGCGTTTAGAGTGGGAGTTGTGTTTCTATATTTGGAAATGACTAGAATTTCGTCACGGCGGAGTTGAAGTACGTGAAACAATTTCAATAGAACCTAGTAGTTTAAATTTAAATTCTGTATTTAATTTTAAAAAAAATTATAATACAGTCAAACCTCTTTATAACAGTCTCGTTTGTTGCGAATATTTTTGGATATTATGGCGAAGTGTTGTTTTAGAGAACATATATTATAACATAACATGAAAATTGATTCAGGAAAAAACTTGGCTTTTATAGTTGTTTACCCGTAAAACGGTATAGTTGAATTTGTTCGTGGTTTCTAGACAAGTGAATTAATTTGATCCAAAAAATAATAAAATAACTGATAAAATATAAAATACTTAGCCTTAGAATGTAGATGGAACGGCAGAGCTGATGAGTCCGGGAACAGGGTTTCCGGGCACAACAATGATAAGATCAAAAGCGAGAAAATAAAATTATATTAAAATAATGTATAAAATGTAGTGTAAGTTAGCCAGAAAATTCGTGTCCTTACAATAATAACAGAGCTCACTATTTATAGCTACGCCTAGAAAAAGAGGTCCTAGGATCATGCTCTTCTTTAATGTCAATTATGAGGGCCATTGATGAAGATGTATCGTTAGACATAAATGCCAAATTCCTTGTTCCTTAATGTTGCGAAATATTCTGTATTAAATGTTACTGGGCGCAAAGCATTTAATACTCTTTTTATGATCGTTATTCCTTTCGGTGACAAGCGGAATAGCTTTGTTAGGTGGTCATCCCCATCTTGTGTTCCACGTGTCCTTCCTTTAAGCGGCCACGTGTCATGTCACATTTTTCCCTATACAATAGTTAAGTGTTGTTATATATAGATGTTGTTATAGAGAGGTCTGATTGTATGTACAAGCTATTAATTTAGAATTCAATAATGTATTAATAAAAAAATACGATCCTACCACGTGGACACAATCTTGAGTTACCAAAAAGTTGGTAGAAAGAACCTTTTTGGCGGGAATTACTATAGCTCCCTTTGAAGTTTTGTGACAGTTAATTAGACGCACGTCTGTCCGCATTTAATGCCTCGAACACGCGTCATCCCACGATTCAGCACAGCTTTTGCCGACTATTGAGGTAATCATGGCCATGAATTTAGCCGCCAAATTTTTACTTATATGCATCATCATCTTCTTATGTACTTCATAATTTCTCAAACTTCTAACTTGCATCTTTATTTCCCAACTTTTCTCTGATCTTCTTCGAACCAGAAATTTTTCTTTCTTCTATTCCAATGGCTTCCTCTTCAAAACGTGCTAGTTATTCAAAGGGCAAGAACAAAACCGAGGATTTCGTTCCTCCAACATTGGGTTCCATCATTCCAAAAAGGCTTAGTACTTCGAAGGATTTCGAAGAGAAATTTCCTACTGCTAACCCTCGCACATGGGTTGTTAGTAGGTACCCTTTTTCTATTCGTCCTTCCAGTATTCCCTACTGTGAAGGAAGACTGTCGGTGCCCTGAGTTAGATATTATTACTCCTGATTTATCGGAGCGAGTGACCCTTCCCAATGAAGGTTTTACATATGTTTTTATGTATCTCTTTACTTTGGGTGCATTTTCTTTGAGCGAAGGGCTTGATCCCGTGATTGCGGAATTTTGCCTTCGCTACCAAGTGTGTTTGGCATAAGTAAGCCCTTAAGTATGGAGGATGGTTGCCTGTCTTCGACGCCTATGTCAGGAAACTAGGGGAGAGCTATCATTAGCTCGTATGATGAACCTTTATTCCCCCAAGATTTTTCGGGGAGGTATGATAAACCTCTGTAAACGTGGACACCATGATTTGTTGACTAGCATGGATGATGACAACGACCTTGGGTGGATGGAATGGTTCGTTGCAGTTTCCACCAGTGACATTATTCCAACAACGGCTTCATCCTTTCCGGTTGCTTGGAAATATTCTCGTAAGTTCCCTTTAATACACTTTTTCATACTAAATATTCTTTCATGCTTGTATTGATCCTTCAACCGTCGTTTGTTATAGCGACTCGATGGATCCCACTGGTGGTAGAAGGCTTGGACCGGTGGGTTCAGAAGATCTAGGACATCACAACTCCCGAAACCCATTTGTGGAAAGAGTTGTCCCTTAAATACATGTAGAAGGCCAAAAATCATGGTAACTTTAATTTACCTTGTGTTCCATTTTTTGTATATGAAGAACTTAGTTGAACCCTTCTGACTTTTTCATGAAATTAGGTCTACCTGCGGGCTCAGTTGATGTTCCCGAGGAGGATGTTTTGGCTGACCCTGCTGATGCGGCGAGGCTGCTTCAGGAGGCACTTACTCGAACAGGCATCTTCGGGCGCAAACATTTCTTCACGGAGTCCCCGGCCAGAGAAAAACAACCAAAGAGAAGACGTTCTTCTACGGTCGGGGAAAAGAATAAGAGGGCAAGGTTTATGTCCCCGAGTCATCTCCGGTGGCAATGGTGATTGGTCCTCCTTCCGGGCCAGTCATAGACATTATGATGATCGATGATGAAGAAGAAGCTAGTGATGAGGGAGCTTCTTTACATAGAAGGATATGATCCTCATCATCTTAATAGGATGCTCGACCTGTTGAGACAATTGCAACAGCTGAAGATGACATCTCAGCACTTTGGGGAGAATCTGATTTAGTTGAATATGCTAACTCTCGCTTCCGGGCCCCAATTGTTATAACTGGTACCGCGAGACTGAGTACCGGATCTGTGCCGTCTTTGGCTAGCGAGCATTAAACAACCAGCGGTGTTTTTGATGCAGTTGCTTCTCACTCTTCAATTCCATCAGCTTCATCTCTACCTTCACCACCACCAACAACTGCTACATCATTTCCATCTTCATCCATTCCCCCCACCAGCAATTGTTACATCATTTCCACCGGCTGCATTCGACCACGGAGAGGGTACTTCTCTTCCCAAGTCCCCAGTTCATGGGATTTTGGGGTAAAGTTATAATGCCCCTTCTGAAGATCCACAGAGGAAGAGGAGTGTTATCCTTTTGGTCTCCACCGGGTGCAACTTGCTTTCGAGGCTGGTGGAGCTTGCTAACTATATGAAGCTTTTGCCTTCAGAAAAAGACTGGGAGAAGTTTCAGACACACTCGGGGGAGAGTTTGTTGAACAATGTTATGCATAACGTCGCATCGGTACGTTCCTTTCTTCCTTTATTAATTCTTCTACTTTTGAACAAATGTACTCTAAGTTTTACCTTTTCTTGTTTTGTAGGCCAACTTTCTTACTTCTGAGGGTCTTCAAAGGCTAATTCATGAGAAGGAAGAACTTACTTCTGAACGGGATCAACTTTTGGCGGAACGGGACCAGATTGTACTCCGCCTCTCGGAACTGGAAACCAAGGCTATCGAGGCTGTTATTTTGGAGGCTCGTTTGCAAAAAAGCGAGAAAGTGGTAACCCTTAGCCAATAAATTGGGCCGCTGAGGGTTTGATTTGATGAAGCCAAGGCTAAATGGGTAGAAGTCCAGAACGTCGTTCTTGCTGTAACTGATCATGAGGCTGCCTCTGCTGAAAGAGTTATTAATTTGGAAGCAGCCTTAAACTCCAAAAGTGAAGAGCTTGTTGTTGTGGTGGTGAAACATGCCCAGCTAGAAGAGAAGTACAGGAAAACTATTGAGCATAATAGGTTCTTTAGTTCAACTATCCGTGAGCTCGACGTCAGTCTCAAATCTGCTAGGTCCTCCTGGGAAAACTTTTCCGCCGAAGTTACTCAACTCAAAGAAGAACTCAAGCGCCGAGCGGCTTCCCTCATTGTTGAAAAACCTTATTCCATGTATAGCATAAGGATAAAAATCTTGGAAGAGGCCAAGACTGATATCATTGACATTGATGCCAAAATTGCTAAGGCCAAAGAGCTTGAGTTGGCTGCAAAAAATGGACTCCGGCGCAGTCTGACGCTCCAGGTTCTTCTGATTCCAGTTCCGAGTTTTCGAAAACTGAAGAAGTATCGGAAGGCAATGATACCGAATACCAAACTGGGGAAAACATTAATCCATCGGTGGAACCATCTACTACTCCCGAGGATGCGGATACTTCTCTTCCTCCTGATTCCAGAGACGCGACAATTTAGTTTTTTTTTTCTTTTTCTATTTTGTACCTTTATCATTTTGAAGCGTCCTTGTAAATAAAAATATATTTTTTCTCAAGTATCGTTTGAGTCTTACTTTCGTTTGAATATTCATGCAAGTCTTTAACTTTTGTACTTGCTCAAGTATTATGCGTATGCTGTTCTTGTTCGCGCTTTATTATGTGTAATCTCGGATGCTTTTTCTTCGAAGCATTTTGGTTCCGAGTATTATCCCTTTTTCGTAAGGGTTTCCATGAGTATTTGCGCAAGTTTGCTTTTTTGCATCTTTTTCGTATGCGGTTTCGGGTGTATTTTTCCCCGATGGCATTCTAGATTCCAGGCATTGACTCTTCCGGAACCAACCCTTTAATGTGAGAGTTTTTATAAAAGAGGGCCCTCTTATGTTTACAGTGCTCTTGAAGAGGACGTCTCCTGTTCATCACGGCACTAACATTTGAAGTACTTGTTTTACTTTCAAATATCAAAATTAACTTATCGTTCAGACAAGAAACAAGATAAAAACAAAAGGATTTCATTTTATTTAATTCCTTCTATTTTCAAAAGTACATAAGTATTTTGCTATGCAGAAAAGAAATTGCCATGAC